AGGGAAGGAGGGGGAAGGGGGTGAGGAAAATTTACTGCAGCAGCTTTGTTTTTCTTCTTGGATTATGAACAAGAAATTTCAATCTTGTTTTCAGAAGATATGAAGAGCAAATTCTCAGGAATAACCGAACGGTTACTGGATTTTGAAGCTTAAAAATTCTTGGTAATAACACAATGCAGATATTTCCTGAATTGTGCTTAAAATATAAAAGATACTATTAAAAATATAATGCAGATATCTCTTGTTTGGGAAAATATTTTGGCCGGAAAAAATGAAGCAGAAGTGTAGTTAGTCAGCTAATTTTAGCTTTCCTTGTATGGAAATGTATCATTTGCAAACTTTATTGAATTCACATTTCTAATCCTGTATTTATAATTTCTTGCTTAGTACTCTTTTGTTGGTTTTTCTGTGTTCTAAATGATTTAATATGAAGTAACATTTCTGCAACATTGATCTACTACCATGATGCAAATTTGATGTTTATGTTTGTTCTTGATTAACTTGGAAATGTTCTTATAATGTAATTTGATGATAAAAAAATAAAAATAAAAAATCATTTTGTAGCCATTATTTATGTTTTTTCTATGATATTTCTGCTAAAATGTTTCTCGAAAAAATGGGAACTCAAATTGATGGAAGAAATGCATTAGCACATTCTTTTACCTTCTTCACCTTAAAAGTATTGATTTCTACATTTGAGGCATGAGTTGTCTTTGTATCTGAACAGGGCAAGCCTCAAAATTCGCAAGACATTTTGATGAAAATAATTCATCTTACTAAATATTTGCACTGCTTCCAAATTCAATTTTTGGTGCATTGATAGTAACTTTTCAATGTTTACTTGTGAATTTATTTGTGAATGTTTATTTTTGACAAGTGAAACTTCATGGTAGGCGTTAATATATATAACCTTTCTGCTGCTCTTAGCTTGATTGATAGTTTGAAATTCTGTTCTGCATCTCTTTCAATTGGTACTGTTTGACAGAGTCGTCACAAGGAAACTGATCATTTCTGGGTTTTTTTTCATGCAATGAATGATACGTTTTCACATTTAATTGGTTTTACATTTAGTATTCATCTAATTTCAAACTGTGGGTAAAATAGAACTCTGGAATTGTTATTTAAATACCAAGCAATTTTCATTGAAATAAAAATGTGCATGTATTTCTGTGTCCTAGTGAGTTCGCCTGCATCAGTCACTTTGTCTGCTTCGTTGTACAAATTTTTTGTTTTTCCTTTTTGTACCTTGTAATGGATTTTTTTTCCTCCCATGATTTATTTTTGAGATTTAACTTATTTAAACTACATGATTTTAGTTTACCCTTCTTTTCCCTGCTGCCTTGTACTGTTTTATTATAGTCATAAACTGTATATGTAATAAAAAACCAACAAATTACAATAATTCTGTGCTTTCTTCTTCAGTGCCAAAAGCATCACGTTGTGGGGTTACGTGATGAAGGAACTGCCAACCCCGAGTCCAATCCACAATTGAATGTTGTCAGCCATATGGAAAATCTTAATACAATGAAAAGTGAGACGCACTTCAATGCTGAATCAGATTTTCAAAATGACTCAAACCTAAAGATGGATGAAGCAAACAATTATGTACCATGCATTTTGGATGATGATATTGAGAAAGGAAAACCGCACAACCCTATATCCAATGATGAATCTGTTGTGAATTTGAAGACTGATGATTCCTTAGTAGTAAGTTCTTCATCCACACGATACTGAGTTTATTTCTTTGGAGTCTGCACAAGATACCATTGTAAAATTGGAGTCATTTTCAGTGTCCCACTAGTGAGCTGCATTGTTGATTTGTAAACTTTTTGGTCAACCATTAAAAGCATCTTATTGAATCATCCCCATGTTATGCGATTTAAATTGATAATTAACTGCTGTGCAGAAGGCATTGCAGAGAGAGATTAGCTTACAGTTAGGAGGAAAATTCATGCAGCTCTTGATGAACCATGGCCCTGAGTTACCCAAGTTCGCTTCAAGAGGTAGTTATCGGCTAACACAATCATTTTGACCCTTTTTTTGGTGAACAATAGAATTATTTTGGGATCTTTTTATCCGTTTGAATGATTTTAGTGGCATCCACATCTTTTCAATTATTATATAAGCCCGTGATTCAAGAATTGGCATCCTCTTCTTCGTTTCTAACTTGTTTAATGTGGAATGCATACCTTTATTAGAGAGATGTGATAAACTCAGTACAAGTTCATGTCTGAAACTTCTTCCTGACCGACTAATGAGGTATTATAGACCCCAAGTTTGGAAAATTCGCTATATTACCCCAATAAGAGACAAGTTGTTACTCATTATCCTTGCACATGCTTGTTTTGTAGTGGTTATATGCCGTGGATCCTACAGAATGTTTGGATGATAATTGCATAGTAAGTTGTGGATCCTACAAAATGTGTGAATTTGATCAGCTCAAATTGAGATTTGCTAAACACACTGTTAAGCTTGTTATGATCTTTCTCGGTCATTAGAGGCCAAACCTTTTCATGTCATGGTCAGGCAATAGGGCTGGACATTTATGAGAAAATACACGTCAATATTATTTATTTTTTTTTGAACAATTTTTTTGTTGGAAACACTTGCTTATGAGCTTTTTTCCTGTATTGTGAAACAGATAAATATCTGATTGACAGTCTATGATACGCCTGCTAACAGATCAAGGAAATACAAGCG